ATTGGCGCCACGTAGCGAAAAGAAGAAACGACTGGCGCGCTGTTGTTAACTCGGCTATAATCGCGTAAGCGGTGACTACGCCAATCAAGAAGAAGAAGATATTTCACTACACAAAATAAATACTCCGAAAACATAGAGTGAAGTGGGGCAAGAATGTGTTGTTGTAGAAAGAAATAAAAACCTTTAGTTCCCAGTTGTAGATGCGACTATGTTGGAAACTCATTCTACTTCCAATAAAACGGAATACAATATAATAGTTACTTTATAATGAATATTATATCAATATTTTGCAAATTATAATAGCGTCCAATTCGAACAAATTTGTTAAAATGGCTTGGCGAAAAATATTTACTGACGATGTTGCCCTATTATATTTCTGGAAAGGAACAAATACCAAAAAACCAGCAAGAGCCCTTAGTATGGTGACAGATTCACTAATTTTTTTCTGCTATAAAAAAATTTAAGACCGCTGCCACAGATATGGAATTCAATCGCACAACAATGAACTTCTTTCAACACGCGCGCTATACTTGTAGAATCAAAAAAATATTTGATTACGAAATATACTTTTCTCGTATGTTATAGAAAATAGTTTAGTGGTTGTAAATATATGTATTGTGATGGAATTTTAAAATGTATTATTTAAGTTGTGATTTAATTAACATATTTGAGCTTTGAATTGAATTATTATTTTTATTTTTGATTACTTTAACTTATAGATTTAAAAATTATATGTAAGAATGTATATGTACATGTGTACAATTTAATTTTTTCACAATTTCACAATTTACTTTTTTTTAATTCTTAATTCTAATATTAGAACTTATTTTAAAGCAATTACTTATTTTTACATCAGTGGCAACTTCAATTAAGGTAATTGGAATCCGTTACATTCTGCTCGCTTCACGTTTGAGAATTTGACATGCTCAGATTGAGAACCAGGGAAAGTTTCATATCAAAAATGTACCGTTTTGTTTGAGAATGCCTTCGCTTTCAAATTAAAATTCCTTTGGGAGCAAACATTTGAGATTTGAAATTAGTGTTGATTCAACTCAACTCTATTTGAGAATCAACAAAAATGTTCGTTGGGATAATTCATCTGTTGTTAGTTACTATTTTTCACTCGTTTTGTATAGTTTTATTAAGTTTGTGAATATTTTTATTTAAGACTGAAACGCAACAATTATATAAGGTCGATTCCTATGTTTGTATAAATGTAATTGAGTCCTGACAATGGCTTTGCAGTAACCTTAGGATGGCGGATGTATTCACTTTACCCAAATCTCAAGGAGTTCGATTTGGGTATTCTGGCCTATTCTTGTTGAGTGCATCACTCAATTTATCTATCTGATCGAAATACACTTCAGAATTAATCGTGGTTCTGTCGGGTAAAAGTTCAAGTCAAACGATCCTTTTTGAAATCTCACCACGCAGACAGCAAAACCGTTTACTTTCTTGTAAACAACCCCATTTTTGTCGCCATTAACAATGCGCTTCAAAAGTGGATCACTTCCAATTAATCATAGAGGTTTCATGTGCTCCTGAACAGTCGGGTTGTTATTTGCGCCTCGACTTTATTAATTCATATCGGCTTCAATATTTCTTACAAGACGTGGTGCATCTTCAAGATCAAAATTTCCTGAACGAAATTTTGCAAAACATTTTTATCATTGGCGTTCGGTCAAGCCTTGCTTGAATTGCATTTACAATATTCCAAAAAATTTAAAAATATTTTTTAAAAACCAGCCTTACTGTGAGAAAATTCAGTTAGAGGTGCCATATCGTAACGCGAGACCCATATGAAACCACTAAATGAAAACAGTGTTGGCTGTAAAGCTGGTTTGATCAGTTGTTTCATTTTTTTTTTAACCTTAAGATCAGCTGTTGTCATAATTCCAAATTACTCAGCGAATGACCCAATAATAAGAAATTAGTAATGCATTCACAACTTTCAGGAAAGTTAAGGAAGTTAACGAAGCTGCGTCTATATTTACATATACTTCCGGTGTATTGAGCAATAAAGTTACCATATTATCATGTTCGCATAAGTTTATTTATGAATATACATACATACATACATATAAAATGTGTAGTTTTGTTGGAATTAAGTGTATACAGCACTATATACATACATATGGACACATACATTTGGATATAGCAAACAAAATTTATTGAAAGTTAAAAAAGAAAGAAAACACATGACTGAAACAACATTGAATGGGTCAATAAAAATAATCGTGCGGAATGTGCGTGAATATTTTAATAGTGACATACAGCACATACTTAAAAGTAGATATGTATTTGCTTGCATTGAGCCATATGCTAGGTACATGCATGCGTCATACATGCATACATACAATTTAGTTGTGCATATGTGAGTTTTGTGTTTGTGTGCTAATTTTGTGCACAGGAGAACAAACAAAACGTCACATTTGCACACGCATACGTTCGTACATATGCATGTGCACTGATAGTATATATGGTATATACACATCAGTATGTAAACTGGATATCCGTGAGTTGTTATTGACCTTTCAAGTTGTGAGTTAAAATTCTGTCATCGCTTATTATTAGGCGAATTTCGTTTCATAAATCAA